TTTGGGGGGGGGGGGGGGGGCAAACAAACGCGAGTTAAGATACAGATCTTGCGAAGGGGCAGCATTATTATAACCCACAAGCAATGCCTAAAATGAATATATATTAAAGATATACCGATCGCGTGCTCAGCTAGATTCTTAAGGATGTTCGATAGATGTTCGATATAGCATATATTAATATTTATTATTAAACAAACTGTAATATATATGAAAGTTATATTTATAACATTTTGTTTTTATTAAACAACACATTTTTATAGTTCATTTATCATCTTATTTGTTATTATTTTTATTGTATTTATAAAATTAAAATTTTTAAAATAACAAAAATCTAAATAATAATAAACGATTTAATCTAAAAAAAATCTAAATGTTTTTGTATAACTACTTTAAATATTTAAAATAACTTTTATAAAGTTTTATTGTAATTTATCAATTACTATTACAAAGATTTAGAACAGATAAATATTTTGTTTATTTACTGGACAACTAATCTTTGCATCGCAATGTAACTTTACATAAATAATCTTAAATATATAAAGTAGTTACATTAAAATGTTTGTAATTTTTTTCATAATACATCATAATACATTTCCACTTATTATATTACAACATAGATTAAAAAAATGCTACTTCTTATTTTTTAAAATAACTTGTGAGAATTGTAAACCATCATTACTTGTTATATTATTTTTAAATGTAATTTAGAATAATTTTTATAATGTTTTTTTTTTATTTAAATATCTATCGAATATCCTTAAGCACAATGCGCTGTATAAAATTATTTGCAAGGAGAAAAGTTTCTGATGGAAAATGAATGAACCAGTAAATTTTAATTATATCCGAATTCAATTAGAACTCCAGTTATCATAATTGGACATCTGGTTATCTCGATTAGAATTATAAGAGTAAACTTATAATTAACTGTAAAATTGTGATCTGTGTGTTCATTTTCCAGAATTCCGATTAATGCAACGAGACTTTAATTCAATTTTAACTCCATTGACATTTAAAGTTGCTACAACTTCTACATAAATTTTTCATTTAGAATTATGTGACTGTTGAATTCGGTGCAATATACAATAATTTTCTATGTAATTGCAAAATATTAAAATATATGAATACAATCTCAAATAATATTGAAATAACGCTTCATCGAAAACAAGATTAAAAGATGCCAAATTGGGCCGCTTCAGCGGTTCTAGCAGGGTCTCGGCAGTTCTAGTGTTAATCTCTCGAAGAAAAATGACGTAGTAATCGAAGGGGATTTATTCCACAACGCGTGAGATAAATTCATACAGGGCACGTGGACGTGAGATACCATCCATAGCTGAAAGGATCTGGCTCCTTTACCATAAAGGGGCACCATAAAGATTTATATTTAGAAGAATGTGTGATGCGACAAAGACCCTTGCTCTTTCAGCGTGTCCTAGATAAATCTTTAGGTATATGTCGCGTCGCGATCGCGCGTTCTTGCGACCACTTAGCATTAAACTACATAAAAATAAATCAATGAATCACCGCGAGGGGCAAAAGAGAATTACGGCGTTCGCACAGAAGATGAACGAGATCTTAGTACGACGAGTTATCTCGCGATGCGCGGTTCATTAACGACACTGTCGATTAATTATCGCGAGCAAAGGTTTACTCGTGTGCGATGACGAGCTGAGCAAAAGTATCAGCGATCCGATATTATGTCAGAAGGAGTTAGAAATTAAGGAGTGGACAGAGACAAAACGACTGTGTGTCTCTTCTGCAAACGGCAAATATAACACGGCAAATTAACACGGCTGGCCACGAGGGAGTTTCATTAATTCGACTGGATAATAATAGGTATTCTGGTCTGCGCCGTGAGGTCGTTACGATTAGGCGAGTCATCGTGGCTTTCTATAAATAACGGGCGGAGACAGACATTGCCAGGGGGTGGAAAAGGGAGATGCGAAGGCACAGAGGGAGAGAAAGAGAGAGAAAGAGAAGTGACTGAGAAGGAGAAGTGACTAGTAATCTCGGTTGTTTCACCACCATCGCCGTTCATGGTGTGTCGGGTGTCTCGAAGGAAAACGAAAAGGTGGTCGACGTTCGGGCAACACATGTCCCGAATGTGTTCCGGACACGGTGGTATGAAGGGACGAAAAAAAAATAGGGATAGTAGCCCAGTGAGATGGTGGCCGTGAAGCATTCGAAATTACCTGCGAGGTGGCGATTCACGCGATTGCTCCGATATGGGATGAGATTTTGTCCGAGATGCATTCTTCCGTTCGCGTTCGAGTGTTTGGGCTCGAGACTTTGAGAGAATTCGACGTTTCGAATTATTCTTTTCTTATCCATCTTTCTATCTTGTCTGGAGTTTCCTATGGCTCGCAGTTACGTGAAAAAAATCAAGTGCATAGATTGATTTCCGGCATTTCGAAAAGTACCTGAACGAACGGAAAGAAAAACGGAGAGGTCCCACATCAGAGGTTCTAGCTGGCCTTCGCGCGGCGCATCTCGGAATGGCGCGAAAACTGCATCGCGCGTGCACGTGTGCGTATGAGTAGCGCACGCATGATGCGACGACGCGACGCGACGCGACGCGACGCGATGGAACGACGAGAAGCGACGCGGCGGGAGGATAGGAGAGAAGAGGAGAGGAGAGAGGAGAAGAGTGAAAGAGAGGAGACACGCGCGGCGTTAGAAAGAGAGCGAGAGGGAAGGTGCCGTCAGAATGATAGTAGTGGGGTTCAGAGTTTTGCCGGCGATCTCGGCACTCGGCGGTATCCGTCGTAGTGGGGAAAGACTAACCCACGAGGGGTTGCGGAGGGAACGAGCGTGGACGAGCGGTTATTTCAAGCGACGGCTCTTCTGGCACTTCGCCCCGAGCTTTCCTCGTGCACATCCTCCTCTCGTAGTGCTCTGCCACGAGTAGTAACGCGTATCGTCAGTGTCGCGACGTCGCAGTCTCGAGTAGTCTCGAGACTGAGAAAGAGAGAGAGAGAGAAACAGGGAACCGTCAGTCAAGACAGCAAGATCGATCGATCGAACGATTTTGCCGTATCGGTCAGTACTCTCGAGATCATCCGCGAAAATTCGCGAAAGCGAGTGCCCGGTGACACTCACAGTGGCAAAAGACCAAAGAGTCTTTCGAGGGTGACAGTCACGGTGTCAGTGAATGGATGAACTCTTTTGTGTATGGTGACGGGATTAAGAGAATCGTGGAACGGTAGGACAGTCGGATAAGACGAGAACCGAAAGATGGAACGCGCGTGGAAAAAAATAGCGAACGAGGATCTATAACGACGACGCGCCGCCGTCGGATGCGTGAGATGCGTCGGCCTGAAATAACAGCGGGAATGCGTGTATAGTGTGAATCAGCTCGTGTTCGTTCCGCAGCGGACACGCGAACTTCCTCTCGGCAGTGACTCCACACACGCACTTCTTCGCCATCCCTCCGTCCTGTCTTGTCTTCAACCCTTCCTCGGTCGACGATCATCGGTGTATCATTGGTATCGTTGCTCGCGATCAATGCCGATGCTCGATAGGGTGAGAAAGAGAGAACTAGGATTCCTGAGAGCGGATTGAGAAAAACCAGAAGCGCCAGAAGCAACGCCGAGATCAGAAGCTGGAAGCGTGAAGAGGCCGAGGGGAGTTTTCGAGACGCTGTCGAAGGAGTTTTCTCGGAAAGGAGATCGCGAGCGTCGTAATATAGTGAGTACGCAGCCTGTTTCGTATACTTATAGATAAAGATACAGACGCGAGGCGAACGTGGGCGCGGACTGTCGTCAGAATTTGCAAAATCGAGTTGAGCAGGTATCTCACGTCGAGTGACAATTTATCGTAGAAAATTTATTACATTAAGATTCGCGATTCACAAATGTCCCACTGAATATCTGTTTAGTCAGAAAATTTTTTAGTAGTTTTCGAATAATCGCCGTTCCTAGAAAGAATATGAATCATTCTCTTCTCAGCAGACCGGAGTAAAATTAACACTAGAGGTATCAACATTTCTTACTCATTAAAAAGATCAAATAAATAAATTAGTTATGGAAATAAATAATAAAGAATCATATATAAATATTTCGTCAGTATAAAGAATATAATTATGAAAAAATCAAAATGTTTCACAATCTTATCTTTGACACACAAAAAATATAACATTGATCTAAAAATGTATGTGAAAAATTTGTAATATATAATTATAATATAATAATATAAATGGCAAAAAAACGAGTAATGAGTAAATATGAATACGTGATAAAAATATTGTATTTTATTTTATATTAATGAAAAATGAACGTGTTTTGAACTTACAGAATCTCTCTCGACAATGCTTGCGAGTGAACATGCAAATTAACTGTATACATTAATAAACCGATAAGAAACATAACATGGACAAAAAGGTTATCAAAAGGCCATATTAGAAGCTAAGTGTTTATACAAAATATAATAATTTATAAAATATAAAAACTTAAATCGATCTAAGTTATCGAATTTAAGTAGTTTAATCTATATTATAGCTATTACTACTTTGACTATCAAAGAATATAAGTTTTTTTATAGTTTGAATTATCTATTATGTCTATTATGTCATGTCTTCTGAAATATCATGTCCTCTGATAATCTTTTGCCTATGTTTATATATTATGTTTATCAATCTATTTATGTATTACATAGCTAATTTTCAAGTTCACTCGAAATATTCCTGATTGTGAGGAAGATTCTGTGAGTTCGAAACGCACCCATTTCTTTTACATTTCGTTAATTTTGAATAGAGTGTAATATTTTTATGACATCCATATTTGTTCGTTTTTTACTTTTTTACTTTTTATCTTATTACATTAATCTAAAAAATGAAATGGTTATTAATAATTCGGTACTTCTAGTGTAAAAATAGGATATTAATTTTCTATGTAGAAATTAAATAATTGACGCAGCTAATAATAATAATAGTAAATATACAATAATAATAAATATGATCGATTTAATGATGAAAACATAGATATGAGACATGCAGGCTGGTAGCTACATTGCGGAAATGCGCGAAAATGTATACGCGTCATCGAAGCAACCAGGGGCGATGACGCGCACGATATATCGATAAGCTACGAGGTTTTGCTTGCGTGCGTGCATACGAGCGGGAAGACATCGTTCGGGAATGCAACTTTAATTGGTATTGCCTCGTTGGTCGATTAAAGCAGACTCGTGCCATTTATTTCCCGATGCGTTCGATCGCGGTCGCACAAACCGAACGCGAATCTTCGATAGAAAATTTCTATCCTGGTGCAACGTACTCTTTCCAATAATACTACATAACGAATATATTTTATTTCCTGGATGAGCATCATTTTTTCCAGTAATACTAAATAACGAATATATTAAGTACATGTTAGATACATACGCGATAAGTTAACGCGACGTAATAAAATCGTCAAGATAAAAATCCCCGACAAGTAATTAAACAACTCTGTGAACCTTAACCTTGAAGGTAGAACGACGATTTAATTGCTATCCCTTTCCGTTTTATTACTAGTAGAGTCGTTCTCCGTGCCGCCATGATAATGAGAGAGCGCGCAGGTAACGATTAAGAAACACGGCAAGGTGATCGGTTAATCGATCGACTAATTAATTTGAAGCGCAGAAAGATTCTACCATGATAAACTTCTCTTCGTGAGTCTCAACGGGTTTCGAAGGTACAACTATGGATTGGATTGTATTTAAAAGTATAACAAAAATTTTCAACAAAAATCGACTTTACACTACCTAGGCCCAGTTTCACAATCATCTCTTTCTAGAATTGGAAAGAGATGAGAAATAAGTTAAATCTCGATTAAAAGCTAACCATGAGTTATGAAACTGAGCCCTAAAGAACAAAGTAATTAATTCGTTGCACTTTAGCTATCTGTATAAGACATGGTGAAGTTTAACCCCCTCGGCCAGACCAGGCAGCTTATTTAGCAGGCGGGAGAAAGAGGGGGAGGTAATTTATTCCGGCTTTACTTAATCTCTTCCCTCGCATGTCTCGACGACTCTCGACCGAGTCTTCTTTAATCCAAATTCCAGATCGAGAAAGGGAACGCGCACGCGCGCGACAAAGAGAGAGAGAGAGAGAGAGAGAGAGAGAGAGAGAGAGAAAGAGAGCTCCAGAAACACGCGCGTCCGTCTTGAGAAGTCGAGATCCCCCGACGATGAATCAGATTATCGTCGGGAGTAAATCGGCGGGCTTGCGACTCCGCGATCATTTGCCGCGCTTCGTTTTCTGGCTCTACGACGCCAAGCGTTCCGTAAAGTAATGGTGTTTTGGAGCACTTAATCTCCGGCTAAGGCAAAGTCTCTCGACTAAGTTGGCGTCGTAATGGAATGAAGCGCACGCTCGAGTTCCAGTTATCCCGAGATAATTCCCTCTCCTCCCCTTGACTCGACACAAAAATAATTATTAATTTTATCGTGCGCAGCTTTTTCTTAAATTATAAACCGGCAGTTAGATAGTGTATAGATTGGATAGACTGAAGAAGTGCCGCGAGAGATTGTCTTGAGCGAATCATAAAGCGAGTAACAGTGTTCGCTTCCGGTGTTTACACGAGCAAAACGCCGCGAGCGAGCAGGTCCGCGCGAACGATAATATACACGCTCCAGATGAATTACACGCGTGCTTCTTTGCCTCCCGTATTGTCCACGATCGCGTGGCTCGCATGAGGCTCTTTCTTGCATCCGGTCCGATGTCCAGGCTGCCTCTTGTGAAATTGCTGATTAACGTCTCTTTCTGAGACAAGATTCCGACAATTCGTTTCAACCAACTCCAAACAATATCGATTTCACGTCCTTAAAGAGGTTGTAAGGCAAATGCAATAGATTAAAAACTTGAAAAGATTACAAATTGTTTTAAATTGCATTTAAAAGTAATACAAAAAAATTAGAGACAGCTGATCATTTGGATCAAGATATTATTATTATTATATATAATTATTTATTTATATATTGTTTCAGTATTCTATTTATAATATCTTAGAATATTTATAATATCTTAATATCTTATTTCAATAAAAAGTAATATTTTTTGTATTCTAATAGAAATATATGAAAATGTATTATAAAATAATGATAAAAATCTCAATTTTTTTATAAAAGTACTTTAGTTCAAAAATATTTATGTGATTATTAAACAAATTTTTGTTTCTAAACAATAAAACTAATATCAAATAAAATAATCTATAAAAATGTGTTGCTCAATAAAAATAGAACGTCATGAACACAACTTTCACATATATGTAATTTGTTTAAAGTTTAAATATTAATATATGTGTTTTATGTCCTTACAACTGCTTAAATATTTCTGTGAGGCCAAAAAAAATGCGAATCGTAATCATTTTACCAATGTAAATTTTAATATAATTTCGATTTAATTTACTCTTCACTTTTTTTATTTTTTTAGTCTCGAGAGAGATTGAAAGTTAAATCGAGATAAATATTATTCTACATTGACGGACATTAAGCAAGCGTTATCCGAGCAAAAGTCGAAGCTCTGACTGGCGTTTTCTCAATGCAAACGTCGAACGATAAGAACCATGCAACATATAATATGTACATTGCGATGCATTGTGTGTCTCAGTCCTTCGTCCTTTTGATTCTCTCTTGCTCGCTTCGCTTTGTGCATCAAAGTATCCATAAAGGATTTATTTTTTCTGAATACGAAACGAAGAGAAGAGACGAGAGATTCGGAAAGATATCGAATATCGAGAACGAGAAAAAGAAAAGATCCAAGTAGGAGATATGATTAAAATTGCAAGTAAATTTGTAAGAAGCAAGCTACGATTTATTTGACGCGTCGCGCCGACTGCGGACAAGCTAGAGTGGTTTATTTTATAAGACCAGATTGCTGGCCTCGCTCTGCCGGAATAGAATAATGAACGTTTCTCTTCATCCTTCGTAGTACAACCTCCTCCTTCTCCTCCTTCAAGCGCGGAATTTCCTCCCCCTCGCTCTTTCTACCCTTCCTCACGAAAGTCGAGTGTCGTTCGAGAACGCTCTTCGTATTGGATCATGCCGTGGTCACGACTCTCCCTTTCTCGTCAAGCGAGATTGAAATGCAACTTTTTTTTTTTGTCAAGTGTAACGTGGTAGAAAGAATATATGCAAGTTTCACGCCGATTTGATGACCTTGTGATGAATTTTTATCTCGAGTTAAAACTGCCCTCGTAATTTATAGATCTCTGTATTCAAAATGCGCTAGATTGGAAAATTAATTCAGGACGGATATAAGACCATTCTCTGGCCGGTTTCTTCCTCGCAATGCCGCGATCTTATTGACCGTGCGTTCGTCATGAGATCGAATTAACGATAATGCCCGTTAAAAGCGAGTTACATAGTTAAATCCTTTGCACGTACAGAACGTACCGCTAAATCGCTCGGTAATCACATCAAAGAGACGGTAACTGATTACATTCGAGTGGAATTTCAAATAAGAACTTACCGGTCATGGAGCGATAACTCTTTTGGCGCTTCTTCGTCGCAAAATCGTCGAAGCACAAGAGATCTTATAGCCGGACGTGGCATTTATTCCTCTTACTTCGAATCGACTTTGTGTAGATCCTGAAAGCAAAAAAAAAGCCTACGATTAAAACACGATAGATTATTATAACTGATATATTGGATCATTAATGCACCAGCTAATTAAATTTTAATGATTGATCATCAAGAAGTTTAAAAAGGAT